AACAACAAAACTATCTTCTAGTATTTTACTTTATCGTTGAGCACTATCGTCTTTAAAGTGACTACTGAGACTGGCCAGCTTTATTAATGACCTCATAGCTGATAAATTTTGCAGCTAAGTGTCTTACTGCCTGTGAGGTAACGCTGGAGAAGCAGATAAGTGCGTCTGTCTGACTGACTGTAAGAATTGCACTTTTGTGAGCTTGCCCCTTAATTCCTTCCTTTAAGGAACACTATAGACAGGTTTTTTTATCTGCACTTTTAACTACCGTTCTCCAGAGCATGTTATAAACAGAACATATAGTATATTTAGTGTTCTGGTTGAACTGTAGATGGGCTCTCTCATAAACGTAAGAAGGCACTCAGCAAGTTTTAAACAAGAGAAGGAAATACTGCTGAAAGGAATGAGTAGACTTGCAAATAGTGACATAAAAGTCATCTGAATACGTAAACATAATAAAAAAAAAAGAGATGGCTAGACCTACGTTAGCCGAGGAAACTGGGGACCACTGCGAGTGATTCAGTGAAAATTATCTCCAAAAGATGTCTTTCCAAGCAGTAAGATTATGGATGAAGAAGTTTTTGGATTGTGAGCTATATTCTGAATTATTCTGAAACAGCAGATGCAAAGGTTCGGGGACAGAAGGTGTGGAGGAAATGGATCTTCCACCAATGAAGCCTGCAAAACAAACCCACTATTTCATTTAGGATGGACAGCAACAGAGATAGGACTAAACAACAGCAGGCCAGCTCTGTCCATTCATACACTACCTGTTTCTGAGAGGCATCAAAAACTTCACATGTGATAGCAGGCAGTCAGGAGTAACTCACTTAAGTTTCTCCCTAATCAATAACGTTTGACTTATGCATTATATAGTATCTTTTGTTTTGTAAATGTTTTCTACTGAAACTCTTCACCCATTTTAAATATCTCATCTGGTTTTGATTCCTATGAAGACTCTGGATTCAGCTGAAACTTATGGTTGTACTTGCCTTTATTGGTGTTAAATATTTTGCCTGATAATTTTGTTGGATATCCTTCTTTATTTCATTTTTTTGTTCAAGTGAATGAGTAGTAGGAATATAGTTGGCCACAAGTCTATTAATAAAAACCAAATTCAAGTAGAGAATGTATTTTTGCTGGAATGAAAATTGCTTAATAAAACTGTCAGATTCACTATAATTTTGTTACAAAAGAAAACTGGAAAAAATGTTCCAGAAACACAAAAAGTCCCATCTTGCATTTCATTTTGAAATCTTGTTTCATTTCAACATTATTTGATTTTATATTATGTTTTAGAATCTCAGATGAAATATTCTGATATGCCTGGATCAAGTTGTATTTTCAGAATGCTCATTTATGAACAAGTTGGAAATTTTCAGTTCTTACTGTGATTCAGAACAGGAGTTTTGCAATACTAAACAGGGCATCCTGAAATGGAAGTCTTATCCTCAGCTACAGCTTTGTTTAGCTCTAAGCAAAACCCACAATCACAGAATCACAGAATGGTTTGAGTTTGAAGGGATCTTAAAGATCCCTTCCAACTTCCCTACCATAGCAAGGGACACCTTCCACTAGACCAGGTTGCTCAAAGCCCCATCCAACTTGCACCTGAACACTTCCAAGGATGTGGCATCCCTGGGAAAGCTGTTTCAGTGCCTCACCACCCCCACAGTAAATTTCTTCCTCATGTCTAACCTAAACCTACCCTCTTTCAGTTTAAAGGCATTACCACTTGTCTTTTCACTCCATGGCTTTGTAAAAAATCCCTCTCCAGCTGTCTCATAAGACCCTTTTAGGTACTGGAAGGCCACAAATAGATCAGCCCAAAGCCTTCTCTTCTCCCGACTGAACAATCCAGGTCTCTCAGTCTGTCTTCATCAGAGAAGTGCTCCAGCCCTCTGAATGTATTCATGGCCCTCCTCTGAACCTACTCCAACAAGTCGATGTCCTTCCTGTTCTGAGGACCCCAGAGCTGAATGCAGAACTCCAGGTGAAGTCTCACCGGAGTGGAGTAGAGGGGGAGAATCACCTTCCTCAAACTGCTGGCCAAGCTTCTTCTGATGCAGCCCAGGATACAGTTGGCTTTTTGGACTGCAAGTGGACATTGCTGGGTCACATTGATCTTTTCATCAACAAATACCCCCAAGTTCTTCTCCTCAGATCTGTTCTGAATCCATTCTCCACCTACCCTGTACTTGTGCTTGGAATTGCTCTGACTTAGGTGCAGGACCTTGCACTTGTTTAACTTCATGAGGTTTGCACAGATTCACCTTTCAAGGCTGTCAAGGTGCTTTTGGATGACATCCCTTCCCTCCATCATGTTGACCACACACACAGGGCTTGATGTCATCAGTAAACTTGCTGAGGGTGCACTCAGTCCTACTGTCCATGGTAAACAGAGCCAGTTCCAATACTGATCCCTGAGGAGTGCCACTTGTCGCTAGTCTTCACTTGCACACCAAACTATTAACCACAGCTGCTTAAGTGCAACCAACCAGCCAATTTTTTATCCAGAGTGGCCTATCTGTCAAATCCATGTCTCTCCAGTTTAGGGAAAAGGAAGTCATGTAGGACAGTGTCAAATGCTTTGCACAAATCCAGGTAGGTCACATCAGCTGCTCTTTTGTTATCTGCCAACACTGTAACCCCATCATAGAAGGTCACCATATTTTTCAGCCACAATTTGCCCTTAGTGAAGGCATATTCATTGTCACCAATCAGCTCCTTATTTTCCATGTATCTTAGCATAGTTTCCAGGAACAATCTGATCCATGATCTTGCAAGGCACTGAGGTGAGACTGACTGACCTATAGTTCCCCAGGCCTTCCTTATTTCTCTTTTTAAAAATGAGAGTTATGTTTGCCCTTTTCCAGTCAGTGGAAACTTCACCAGACTTCGACAGCTTCTCGAATATGATGGATGGTGGCTTAGCCATTTCATCCATCAGTTCCCTCAGGACCTACAGACTTGTGCACCTTCAGGTTCCTTAGATGTTCTTGAAGCTGATCTTCTGCAGCAGGTGATTTGTTCTCCCAGTCCCTGCCTTTGCCTTCACCTTCTGTGACTTGGGCAGTGTGACTGGAGCACTTGCAGGTAAAGACCAAGTCAAAAATTGAGTGCTCAACGTTCTTCATATTCAGGGTAATCAGGTCTCCCATTTTTTTCCAGAGAGGACACACATTTTTCCCTAGTCTTATTTTTATCACTGATATACGTATGGAAGCTTTTCTTGTTGCCCTTGATGTCCCTGGACAGATTTAATGCTATCAGGGGTTTACTTTTCCTAAAGCTATATGAGCAGTCAGATCCCTGGCTGCTCAGAAAATTTCTCTAAATTCCTCCCAGTCTTTGCCTGGGAGGAATTCCTCCTGTCATTGCCTCCACTCTCTGTAATATGCAACCTTCATTGTCCTTGCTTTCAGTCTTAATTTTTTTACTGTGTCATTGAATGAGAATTGTCCTGTGTGTTTAATAATAATTAACACCTATCTCTGGATTTCTGTTTTCACTCTATTATTCTGGAATAAAGTGTCCAGAACCAAGCAAAATTACTCCAGATGTGAAGGACATACAAGGTTATTCACATCTTCATAACTCTCTTTCATAATTTCTATAGTGTCTTTAATTTGAGTACAGAAGATGATTTGATCTTATAGACCTCCATTTAACAAACCGTATTGTATGCACACACATGCACACAGTGCTACTCTGTAGCTTTACTGTCCCAGAGAGAGGCTGAGATATTTCCCTCAGATGCTTATTCATGGATATCTTACTTTTGATCTTTGGATGCTACTTGACATAAAAGTCACCTCTGACTTTTATGTACCTTTTGTTGCCAGGGTAAGAAAATTTTATAAGTGTTAATCCTGGCTATGTATTGTCTTTCTGCTCAAGAGAATGGGGTGCACACGTGTCTGCACTTAAACTGGAGTTGCCACTTAACAGTCTTCCATCCTCACAGTATTATATCATAGTTTGCATTTAGTATTTCTAATTTCTTTTTTGAGATTTCTGTCAATTCTCCTGGTTTTTCAGCATCCTAGTTCAACGAGTAGCGCTTATAGAGTGTGTTATCCCTCTTAGGGACCCAAAGATGATGCCTCCAACTCCTCCCAGCTCTGGAAATGGATACTCATTGCAGTTTATCTAACCTAGATCTAGACAGCAGAAAAATGAATTGCATAGTATAGCAATGTGCAGTTACTGAGGAAGCTGACAAAATACAGGCATTGGTTGTGAAATGCCTCTGTAAAAAGAAGTTATTTAAAGTCCAGCTGAGTGCCTAGCACCATGGTCACCTGCTGACACTACACCCCATCTGGCAGAGGATTGTTCAGCATTGCTTCCAGTATGTGGCTTGGGCATATCAGCTTCTTACTGGCTGCATTTTCCAGATGGATGCAAAACTGACTGCTGAAATTGGTGTCCAACTTCTTGAGTGGGGTATGAGACCCTCCCTCTCTCTGCTTTGAAAAGAGTAGGGTTTACTTTTTCTTTTTCTATACTGATATGCCACAAACACAGGTCAGACCTTTGGAGTTAAGAAAGTGACTGAGTTGTCCCAACATTTCTCTCACAAGAACCAGATGGACAGAGCACTCCCATGCTATGGAAAATTCCATCTGAAGTTTGTCTCTGGCTCAGCTAAAGTAGAATTACTGTTAGGTGACTGTCAGAATAACAAGGTTTTATTTAGTTCAGAATGGTTATGAATGTTTGTTTTGTTCGTCAGTCTCGTGCACCTAGGAAACTCCCCTAAGTCCACATTCCCTAAAGATAATATTCCTACAGGAGATTTCATGAAAGATGAATCAAGATTTTAAAAAATCCCTGAGAATGTGTTAAGATCTGGTTATTAAAATTATTAGAGAGATGACCCTGGCTGAACTAAGGTGCAAACAAGACCATATGCTGAAGCCAATAGTATGGATTTTATTTAATAGTAAATGTGAGGCAGAGAGAGAGAAAGAAAGAAATAGGAAAAAGAAGGTGGTGGGGAAGAAAGAGAGTGACAGAGAGAGATTAAATAGAAAATATATCAGCACTTCATGGAACCCACTGGTGTCCCATAGGTCCTCTTGTTCTGGTCTTCTTGGTGCTGAGGATCCTGCAAAACATAGTGTCCAGTGGATCAATATACATTCAGGAGATGCCCAGGCACCTCCCCTTGGGGAGAGGGGAGGTTTTACAGGTTGTCTAGATTTGTTGCATCACTTAGATCAAGGCCAGTCCTCTGGTGGTGGAAGGCCTCAGTACTGAATCTGGGGGGCATTTTGGGGGTCTTTGAATGCTTATGACCCCCTTTCAGCTGCCCCTTACATGAATGTCCTGTGTGTACGTGGTCTTCCAGGAGGGGGGGAGGTTTACTTCTTCTGTTTTGTGCTGAGAGATTTCACCATCACACGTCCAAAAAAACCCTCCTCCTCCTCCACCCATCGAGCCTAGCTAGGGCTGATTCTTAGCACAGTTGCTGAGTTTGACTTTCTTTGTGGATATGTTCTTCTTTCCTGAGCCTTCTTTACTTCTCCTTAGACCTAATATAATTGGACAATAGTCTTATCTCAAGTTCCCCATCATAGCCCAAATTCCAGTCAGCAGCATACAGGGAGTAGGGGACGCTTAGGTGGTCACAGATGGGCAATTGTGCCTTTACAGTTTGACAAAAAGTCGTGCTATGATTTTGGCAATGTTTAAGACATTAACAACATTTCCATCTCTTATACAGTGTCACAGAGATATTTTAGACTTCCATTAATTACTTGCTTGCATATTAGTTAATTACCTCACTGCTTACACATGCTGCATTCCACACCTCTCCACTATACATTGTATAGCTTCAGCTTCTTGTTTAACTCTTTTGCTGGACTCAGCAAGAAATATAATACATAAAGGGAATCATTCATTTTTACATCATGTGGGAGTTAAATATCATGTTATAAACATGTCTTTAGACTTCGAGCCCTCAAACCTGAGCTCATTTTCTCCCTAAAATGTAATCATAATAGGGCTACTGAATGACTCAGGCCACTCTCTACCCAGCTGATCAAAAATGGCTTTAGCCTCCCAGTGCTCCCTTGTCTGGTTTAATGAGTAAATAATCTCATTGGAAGGATGTAGCACACCACCCAGGTGTAATGGGTTTCCTAGTCTGTTGCTGAGGCTCGGTGAAACACTGATGTAGCCAGCAGTAACTTTCAGACAGGAAAGCCAGCAAGCCTCCTGGTCCCTTTTACGAATTTTGGAAGCCAGTGGTGACACTGTGCAGTGATTGATCAGAACCCTGCTTTTGTCTAGGGTTTCCCCTATGCAATGTTTGCACTTATTCCACAGGAGCAGAGCAGCGGCAGGTAGCAAAAGGTGTGCATTTCTGGGCATATCTGGATAGATGCAGAATTTGCATTCTTCTCCCAGTCTTGCTAGACTGGGCTAGTTTTATTTTGGAAGCTGCAGAGTGGTTTTTCTTGATGGTTTAAGATTGGTGGTATACTAGTGTTTGAGTGCGTGTCTTTTGTGGGCAGCGCTTGTTGCACATATGGTCTAGAGACTGTAAAACTGCAGCTAGGAACATGCTGAGTCTGAACTAATAAGCCCTGTCTGGCAGGACAATGCAAATTGTATAGACAAGGAGAGGCCCGAACCCAGACCTTTATGAGGAAGGCAGGATGGGAATCTAAAATGGTGTTGTTTTTTGTTTTCTGTTTCTTTCAAAAATGACTCTGTGCCACAGTAAACATGGCTAACAGCCCTGCCTGCTAGTTCAGAGTGCTGGCGAAGGGAGCTCACATCTGCCTGCAATCGGCTATGTAGACATATCCTACGTGGCTTCTGTACTGGAGCTGGCTCCTCTCCGCTCAGCTCTGAATATAGTCAGAGTTCACTTATGTTGCTTTGCCCGCATCTGTAGGCATACCCAAACCAATGGGATGTGGGCTTTATGGTAGCCTTTTCCCGAGGTGTGAAAAACCTTTTTAGGTCCGGCAGCCTTATGAATTCAGTGTAATAGGTTGTAATTCGGCATGTTCTGGCTTGTTTGCACTCTTAATACAACACAGGGTTCATAATTTGACACAGATACAACCCATTCTGTCACAATAGTAGTTTGCCAAGATTTATTCTTTTAACAAGGAACACAGATTCTTTTAATGTCTGAAAGCTAATGAGGAAGGCTTTTCCAAGTGCAACGTGATTACACAGAAATGCCTTCTTCTTTCCTTTCCTTTCCTTTCCTTTCCTTCTTTCCTTTCCTTTCCTTTCCTTTCCTTTCCTTTCCTTTCCTTTCCTTTCCTTTCCTTTCCTTTCCTTTCCTTTCCTTTC